TTTCAACTAGGGAAATGGGAAAAATATTCAGTGTTGTGTTGGAGTGAACTTGAAAAAAATATTTCAAAGATGAGTGCTTGAGTTGCTAAGCTGATGGCAGTAATGTCTTCCTTTCATCCAGTGTGTTCAGAACTCCTGTGAAGAATGAGCGTGGCTCAAGATCCATTTTTTTTTTACTACATTTGAAGGAGTTTGTCACATTTACTAACTTTTGAAGAAGGCGTTCTAGTCCTACCAAAAAATGTCTCTTATTCTGCACTCATTCTTGTTTTAAAATTTCACTTTCATCAAAATACGTGGCTGTTTTTTGTTGGCACTGGAAGCAAGAACTGGGCTGCTACTCCTGTGTCAATGAATACTTGGCTCTGTTCTTTGTCATTGCATAGAGAGAATTATTTGAGAATTATGGATCCTGAACTATCTTATAAGTTGATCACAAGTGACCTATCGAAAAAAATTTGTCTGAATTCAAGAAAGGGAGAGAGGAATTTCAGTGTGCGGTTATTGGAACATCCCAAGCATTTTTTGAACCACCGGGAAAATTACAAGCACTATGTTGTATTTTTTCAGTCAACATCTGAGCTTAAGGGACAGAACTTGAAGTAAATTTTAAGAACTTTGAAGAGCTAAAGCTATGCTTTTTTAACAAACAAATTACTGTACCAAAAAAAAGAGCAAAATACATTTCACCAAACCTCTCGTCTTCAAACCTACAGACCTCTTCTGGTTTTGAAACACAGCACAGACTTCTAGCCTATTTATATTTGTATCAAAGAAGTTAGAATGTGAGCTCTACTTTGCTGTGGAATCAGGCATCTCATGCTTATGTCCAGAACTTGTGTCATATACTTTCTCTGCCTAAATAGAAGGGAATATTCTAACTTTATCCATATATTTCTTTTCCCTGTGTTCATAGTGAACTGATGGTCTGTGTCAAGCTTTTCATCAGCCATACTCTCCAAGACCTTCTCTGCAGGGCCATTCTTAAAGAGTTCTTTTCCCAGTATGTACACATATCTGGCATTGCCCTGACCCAAGTGCAACACCTTGCACTAGGCTTTGTTGAACCTTATTAGGCTGATTTGGGGCCATTTCTCAGGCTTGTCCAGGTCCCAGGATGGCATCCTTTCCTTCTATTGCATCAGCTTTGCCACTGGTCTAACTAGACAACTAACTAGACTAGACTTTTGTGTGCTGAGTGTGCTGTCAAGGCTTGAAGAGTTAATTATGCAACACCCCTACCTCCCCATGGGAGAAGTGAGGGGAAATAGGAAAAAACAACTTGTCAGAGATAAGGGAACTAATTTATTAAACGGAATGTGAGATAATACAGAGTAATTAAGAATAATAAATCAAATGAACTGAAAACAGGAGGAAAGAGAGAGAGTCCAAGCCCTTATTGGCCAGCACTCAAGACTGGCCTCCTAGAAGGGCAGAGAGCTCTGTCTCATCACCCAGATTCAGAAATCATATGGGGAATTCTGGAGACTTCTGGGAGATTTTAGTTTGTCTCTTCTCAGTGTATCCACCTCTAACAGAGCTGGAATCCTTGTGAGAATAGCTGAGACTGCCAGAGCTCATACCCAGGAAATGCATTTCCCCTGTGCTTTGCTCCAACACCGAACAGCTTGCTGCATAATGTCATGATATGGAATACTGATAAAACCAGGACAGTGTGCACTAAATTCATCTGTCTATGTTGTTGATAAAGATATTGAAGAGCACTGGTCCCAAAACAGGTCCCCCAAGGGACACCACTTGTCACCAGCCCCCACCTGGAGACATTGACTACAGCCCTCCAGCTATGACCATCACATCTCTACAAAATGTGTTAGGTTCTACTTCAGGGGGAAAAAAAGAAAAAGAAAAAACTGGCAAAACTTGCATAAAATGTGTTAAAAGAGTGTGAAATGATCTATGAGATCATCTTTAACTTGTCACCTGCAAATCCTTGGCCAGACCCTGGTTTGCTACTAGGCCTCCTTGCTACCACTTTGGGTGATACTGATGCAGAATGGAAAACGAAATATGGAGTGGAAATTTGTTTTCTATCAATGCAAAGCTACTCCTCCACATCTCTAGTACCTAAGAGGGACTAGGCTTCTCAGAAATGCGTGCAGGAGTGAAAAATAGTGGGGAGAGAGACTATGAATAGCCTGCCTTTGGTCTGCAGAGATCCTGCTGCTTTGAAGCACTAGTTCTGGCAGTTCTTTTTTCTCTTTGCCAGTCTTTGAAATTCTTCAAAATGGAGCTCAACCTTCAAATGGTAACAGAAGGAAAACAGTTTGGAGCATGTGATTTTCATCTACCTTTCCTATTCTTCAAACTTGCTTTTTAGAAATGTCGAAGAGTTGAGCAGGGCACTGGTCAGACAAAAGCACGGATGAGAATAGAGGCGACCTGGATACTGTTTTCTGCTCTTTCACTGGCGTGTTACATGACTTTGGGGAAAATCAATTCCCTGTTGTTCTTTTTCTCTTATATAAAACAGGAGGAAATAAATTTTACAGTGGATTTTGATTGCTTTCAGATTTTCTGATGAATAATCCGAAAGAGGAACAAGTCAGTATATCATTGACCACATGAGTACTACTGAATCTGTAATAATATTTCTTCCTCTTTGTCAGTTGGGGACACAGGAAGAACACCTGTTTCCACATTTTTCATTGCATTTGCCCACACCCAAGACTCTAGGCCACTGATGTTATGTAGCAGATACTTTTCACAGATCAGATTAAGGAGCGATGAAGTAACAGAGCATGCAAGCATCCCACGGTGCTCTTGAAACGGGAACTTCATTCTTGGTAATGATCTATGTGGCCTTGTGTTTACCTTAGAAAAATAATTTGTGAGAGAAAAGGAGAGATTTGGAAAGAAAGGAAGTATTGCTGTTATTAACCTCTTAATGTTTAGTGAGAATATGTCACTGAAGGCCTAATGGTGTTTGATATATAGAATCTTCTAATTAATAAATGTGTAATTGTCCAAAGATGTTTTATAAGTTACGAGAAGAAGAGGTAGAATTGTTCACAAATGTTTTCACTGAGATTGTTTTAAAGTCAGTTAAAATTGCCTTTGAGAGTAGAGTTGCACTAAAAAGAGAGGAGAGATGGAAAGAAGAAACCCCAAAACAGGGTCTTGCATAGTCTAGAGTTTCAGGAGAGAGAGGAAAAGGTCTGGTTATCCAGAGCCAGATGCATTGTTAAAAGTTCATACTATCACTTTGACATTTAGAGTAGGACTCAGTGTCTTTGTAAATTCCTCTTCGTATTACCAGTGTAGGTCTCTGAGCTCAGACTGTTTCACAAACCATAACATTTTTTAGCGGGTGATTGATCTGTATTATGTGTCCTAGCCATCAGAAGAATCTTGGGATGTTGCTTGTATAAACTGTAATACAATCTGATCTCCGGCATTTTGTTACAGACTTTCATAGACCTATTGGCGATACTCAATCCTCCTGGATTTGGGAATAGTGCTTATCTGATACCTTCGGAAAAAAAAAAAAGAATGAAAGAAAGAAAAAAAGAAGAAGAAAAAAAAAAAGCCCTCATTTTCTCTGTTCCCCACTTAAATAACTCAACACATCTGGTAGCACTGTAGGATCATTGTCCTTTCAGTTCCTCTGCAGTTCATATTGCTACAATAATTCTTAGGGATCTAGTTTCCTAAAGGGCAATGTGATTTTTTTTTTAGGCTGTTTTTATAGGTCTTCCAAATTAACCCATATGCATTGCAAGAAAAAACATGACTTTTAATCAGCCGCATTTCTAAAGTTAGCGCTTGCTCTGTGTGTATGAATATGTATATGAACCAGCCTTTAAAAAAAAAAAAAACACACAATCTTTCTGCTCATACTGAAAACTAGTATGCAAATGTGTTTTTATTATCAAATAAAGTCTGCCTAAATGTTAAAATATCTTTCTGTTAGGGGTTCTATCATTTGAGTTCTTGTGTTCAGTTACAAGAATGATAAAGACTGAAACTAAATCTTTTAATTCAATAAGAACAAGGCTGAATTTAGGAAGCAAAAAGGGGAATCAGATATAGAATCATATGCATAGGAAATGAAGCATTCAAGAAATTAAAACTACAGGGGTAGCCTTAAGGTGTGCTTATTTGAAATGCCTGCATTTAATTTTACAGTAAATCTGAGTATTTTGTTCCAATTAAGACAGTTCATGTGCACAACTCTAAACTGTACAGTAGTTCCAGGGAGACCATGGAATGCTTGTTTTACATTCTGGATCAAGTTCAGATTTTTAGGCTTCACTTGAATAAAATAAAAAGTTTGAACCCTGAAGATAATACAGATTGATAAATCTGATTTAATCATTCCCGTGTTGCAGACTTCCAGTGTATGTGGTACAGCTGAGCCTCAGGCCATGCGCTAAATGCATCCACAGTGCATTCCCAGGACACCCGAATACCAAATGATCACATTTGAAAGGTTACCTTTCCATGGATTCTGACTTTCTGTATAGCCACGAAGATTAGGATTTTAACAGCTCCCAATGAGAGGTATTGTGAAGTATTTACTTGGCAGGAAAAAAGAACAACAAAACAAAACTAAGCCCAGATGAGGTATTGTCTTATATTCCTGAACTGGGATTTAGTAGCTCTGTGAATGTCCTGTGAATACACTCTGTCGTTCATACTTCAATTTTTTTATCCTTTTTTTTTTTTTTTTTTTAATATTTCTTTAAAAATATTGGATTTTATATACTACTATCCTTTTAATTTTTTTTTAAATATTGTATTTTATAGATTACTTAAAACTTTGATAGAAGAGTTTCAGCAGTATAGGCTTTAGCAGGAAGACAGGATCATGCTTGTGCAGAATATATCCTGGTAGGTCCTGCAGTCCATCGCATCTAGCTTTCTGCAAAGGAAGTAAACTATTTACCTCTCTAGAAATCTGGCAGTAGCTTTTCTTTAATTATGACTAAATTTACTGGTAAAGATAAATCTGTTTTTTTTTTCCTCCTTTTCTTTTACAGGTTGTGGAACTCATATCAAGTGCTATTGGTGATTTAGTTCAAGGTATCTACTATGAAAATTCAAGATCATCTGAGGTAAGAATTTCAGTAATTTTACATACTCAAGACATTTGGTGATATTAATGTGAGTACAGTAAATGCTGCAACTTTTTAATCTGAAATGGAAGAGGAAGGGGGAGGAAGAGAATGAGCTGCAGTCATGGCGAGGTTCAGCAGTAACGTCACTGTGGCACCTGTGAACACTGAGCCTTTCCAGAAATGCTTCAGTGTGGGTTTTTTTCAGTGTTTAAGTTTGATAACTTGAACATCTGTTTTGTGCTGAGGAGTTAGAAATGCAGTACCATGCTTTTCTCCACTGTAGATCATGTGCATGTATTACAGAGTCGGTGTGGGCAGAGACAATAGCCAGTGTTTCACACCAAAGAATCATTTCTCTCTTCAAGGGCAATTGTGGATGTCTTGTGTCACTGTCCTGTGTTTTAATTTGTGTGGCAAGAACCATAATGAAGATCTAGCAAATCAGATCTAGATGCTTTTGTCTTTTGTAGAATATTTAAGGAAATTTGTAGAGATACAAAAAGCTTACATGAAGTAAGTTGGCTTGAGCAGGATGTTGGAGCAAAACTGAGTTCCATTTTGTATTGCCTGTATCTTAGCATGTAAAAAAATTGATATTTTAAAATTTTCATAACCTCTGCAGGTCTTAAATAGCAAGTTTTCACAGTATGGCAATGGTCAGCAATGTGTATATGTAAATATGTATCTTAAAATCTACTGCAGCATATAGTTTTATTTCTTCTGATGTTTTCTCATGTGCCTAGTTTGCCTCAGACACTTCTGTCTTCATGTTCAGTGTATAAGATGGCAGAAGTTTATGAATACATTTGTATGTGCTGTATATTCAGATTGCTGTTCTGGCTTTCTATTGCCGTGTTGCAGTGTGCAGCAGAATAAATCATCAACTCAAACAGGTTACTGCCACAGTAGGTACCTGCATTGGCAGCTCCACACCAGGCAAAACCTGGCTGTGGGCTAAGCAAAGTCTCAGGCTGTGGATGTGCGGCAGCTGGGCCACAGAAGGTGGCATACAATGAAGGCATATTACTTCCTTGCTTCAGTTTATCCGTCTTCTTCTGGCTAAAACCAGTTAGCAGGGAGTGCTCACGCTGATCTGCTGAGCAATTCCCTCTGAGGAGGTGAGGGCCTCCAGCAAGAGAGCTGTGCTGGGTGCTGCAGGTAAGGGACGATGTGCATGGAGCCATCTCCTGGCACCTCTCCACGGTGGAGGTGTGGGAGCACCTTCTGGGTTAGATCTGTGAGTAAGCAGCACTTCAGCCTGTAGGTTGCTTGCAAGGATGGCGCTGGGGGTTCTGCAGTAAAGTAGATAGTATCTTTGAGATCTTTGCAAAGGAGCTAAATTGTATTTTCTGTGTTCAGGCAGTTTTCTAAATACAACTAAGCCCCAGATACATTGCATGTAGAAGAGCAATGGCTACTTTTATTGGTAGGAGCTCTACTAGTTGATCTCATCAATGAGACTGTATTTTAACAATGGGTGCTGTATAAATGAGAGGTGTTGAGGATCCTGCCATCACAGAGGGTCAAACTCTTCTTTTTCTTCATTTGGCAAAGTGCCGAGCTGACAGTTCTGGCACAATTGCATCATTTTAGGTGAACTTGAAAATAGTTGTTTTCTATTGCAGTACTGAAGCACTCCAGATGTAGATTGCAGAGGAAGTGTGAGATACACTGAGTACAGCTGCATGGCGTTTGCCTACCCTGGCCCAATTACAAGTGGAAAATACTTTGTTTTAGTGACTTATTCTGTCCAACAAGAGCTGGAAGTAAATTTCTCCTTCCTAGGAGAAATCCAGTTAACTCGAAACAGAATTTGTATGATAGCATAATAGGCACTGAAAATTACATGATAGTGCCTGAAGTTTAGTTTTATAATGTATGTGGCCTCTTGAGACCGAGAGCAAAGAAGTGTAGCATCTTTTTTTCTTTTTCTTTAATTTTGCCCTTTATGAAATGTAGCTTCTTGTTGTGTGTTTAGATGTATCCCTGCTGTTTTCCTTGCTATTCTGCTGTGACAGTGTCCCACTCATGTGCTGACCATCTCTTTAGCAGAGATTGCAAAATGGCTTAAGTCAGTTATTAGTCTTATTTGTATCTTTTGTGCATCATCTTTCCGTCACCAACTGTCATTTGACCAAAACCAAAATTTGAACGACATTTCCTGGAGGTAAGACAAATACTTTAATCTACTCTGCAACTAAGCCTCGAATGTCAAGCTTACTTTCTTTTAATGGTAGGGCATAGGGATGTTAGTAATGACATTTTCATTGCTGGGAATATCTTAAATTTAGAAAAAGTGGAAGGATGTCTTCTCACTTTTTTTTTTTTTTTTCCTGAGGCAGAAAGGTTGTGGTTCTTATGTTAAATATGCCTTTAACACAATCGTTATAAAACTTTTCAGTAGCACAAAATGGACTCATTTCTTGTTCAGCACTGAGTTGTTTGAGCTTTGCTAGATTTTTTTTTTGTCTTTTAGTTCAGATAAAAATAACTTAGCAAAATTCACCTTTCCCCTTTGAGATCCTAAGTGCATGTTTATCCAAGAAAGTATTTTCAGCTTGCTTCATTTGGATGACCCTATGGGAAAATTAAAAGGATCTTTTGACCTGACAAGGCTGACCTTATTTACTACTGAAGATGTATAACGGATATAATGATTCTACAGCTCTCATTACCACTTCTCTCTCTGTAAAACTGCATGCAGTCCTGCAGCCATCCCACTGTAGTATGTTCTGCTTGGTTGTTCTTGATTGGATCTTTGCAGTGAGTCATTAGATCTTTGTAAAATGGGGGAAAATAAAGATTCAGTGTTTTAACTTTTCATCTTTATTTGCAGTGGCAGTTCTACCTATAAAGTGTTGTGAGCATAACCTAAAGATTAGGGCTGCCACTTTCGTTGCAAGTGGTTTATAAATGTGGTTGAAGACATTGCATTAATGGCTTAAGCTAATGTTCTGAACTGTAAACTGGAGCAGGAAGGGGCAGCGCAATAAAATTTTTGCAGCTTTGTGCTAAATCCCATATCAGAACTCAAAATTCTGTGACTAAAGGACACCGTTCCTGCTTCCCATCCGCCTCTCCTACATCTAGTTCTAATTTGGAAGTAGAAGTGTATGTCCTTAGTGAGTGCAATGATTATATTAGCCTAACATGGCTCTCCTTCTTGATCATAGTGTCTGTTTTTAACAGAGCAAAACATTGTGCTGGATCTCTAATTCCTACTTTTAGAAGACTGAAGGCTTCTGAAATGTTGCTAGCTCACAGAATACTTTTGCACTCTCAGAAATATTCTGTCTTAATATCCCAGATCATTTAACAAGTATTTGAGTGTTTTGGATCTTGTATGTTACTTGGCAGACTGTTTTTTATAGAATTACGGATTTCCATGGGAAACTGTAGTGTTCTTTTTTTTCTCACCTTCAAATTATCCAGCTGATGCTAGATGTGTGTTACCAAACCTCATTTTTAGTATCAGAATGAGACTGTTACATAAGATATTACTTTTTCAAAGATATTCTTCTGGTGGCTGGTAAGTGTTTTTAAAATTTTCCATTGAATTGTTTGAATAAGTATGTAGAATTAGTATGTAAAACAATTATGAAAAATAAATCTCTTTGTAGCAAGTACTTGTTGTACCGGATAGTGAATTAATCAATGTTAACAGGCATAGACTAATATGGAACAGAAACTTATTTTCCTGCAAAGCATAGCTATATGCAGTGAGCTGTACCAATTCTTCATTCATGTTTGATCACCAGTCCTGCTTTGAGGAGTTGTGTTTTGGGATTCTGCACATGTTCGTCAACTGGAATGTTACAGGTATATGTTGCAAGTAATGGATTTGCTTATAAATTTTACCACCGAGGGTAAATCAAATGAATTATGAGTCATGCTAACCACCTTTTAGCAGGGCAGCAGTCAGAGCTCTTACTTTTTTTTTTAAGTATGTTTCTTTTGCGAGACGAAAGGGAATGATAAAATATGGAATCTGAGTAAAAAGCATCTGTGAAAAGAATAGGTGAATGTGTCGGAGTGGGGGAAAGCATCTCTGGAAAGAAGGCCATTGCATCTTGTTTATTCCTTTTGTTCTTTGAATACTGGGCTTTTCCAGGAGATTTAAAAGTAGCAGATGTGAAGAGAGGTTTTAATTTACTATAATTTTTCAACTGTTTTTTTTTTAATTTTTTTTTACACTGTGTCACAGTAAGAAGTGTCAGGTAGTCAGTGGCAGTGGCATGCTCTATTGACCCATTTGCAGATTCTCTCCAAAAATATAGAAGGCATGTATTAACAGACCAATAAAAGATGCCTTGTCATGTCCAGGAAGCAGGAATACATCTGTTTAAAGCTTGTATGAACCGTATGCAAGATGTTTTGCAAGGTCTTGCTGTAGTTAAAGAGATCTGTAACTGTATTTTACTTATGTAAAATAGACATTCCTGAACTATCTAATGTAAAACTTTTAAATGGTAGAACTATTTCAGAATATTTCTCTGTGTTTATGTGGGTTATTTGCCCGTTGAGAATTGAGCTATAAAGCTCGGTATAAGAGTGGTTCAGACATCTTGATCATTTTGTGAGACACCAGATGGCTAAGAAAGAGCTGCCATCGTATTGATTAAAATAAAGCTTCCCTTTATGTGATCTATATCTGACTTCTACTCTTTCCTGTTTTTGCATATGATTTCGTGCACTTCTAAGAAACAATTTTCATTCATGTTTCTCTGAATATGTTTTCATCCGAACTCATGTTACCGTTTTCTCTGGTGTGGCAAATCAAACCGCTTTTGCACTGGGGACACTTGTAACTGTAACTACGAAGACCTGCCCCTCTATGACTGCATATTTTGTTCTGCGAGTTCATTTTCTGACAGTTCTACCTTTCCTGTTGCCTAGGATGATTGTTCCAGACTTAATTTAAATTACAGAAATCGTTTAAGGGAAAGCTTCTCTCAACTGTCCAATTTCTTTCTCACAAGACAGTAACTGACCTTGGCGTTAATAAAAGTGGGAGCACCCTCAGCTGCTCTTAATTTCCCTCTTCCAGGTACTGCTTTGAAAAATTAGTTTTTAAAACACTGATTCTTGAAGTTTTTAAATTGTGAGTGTGAATTGTCAAAACATGTTCACAAGAAAAGCAAACCTGCTGTTAGACCCTTGAGGACCATTTTTCTTGAGCATAACTGGAGTAGAAGTGATCGACAAAGGTGCTTCAGATATGTTCATTGTGCTCCCATATGCCAGCACTCCTCAAAGTGTATCTGGACCTGAATTGACTGCTTTTTTTCAGGGACGGTGAGGGATTCACCCAGCCTCTGCTGCACGAACAGCATGAGAGTTGATGGGGATCTGGACCCATTTCTTGAGGGCATAACTTTGTAATGAGGTTGCTCTGTAGGCATCAGATGTCTGAGCACTGTCCACTACAGCTAGAATTAATAAAGATAACAAACATCACCATTGCTTCAGATTTCACAACATCTTGAAACCAGAACTAGTTTCATTTCTTTCTTGATGCTTTATAGTCATGCTTAACTCTTAGCATAGACACTGTAGGAGTACAGTGTCATTGGCATGCTACAGTTGTGTAGCATGAAATTTATCTTTGGGAAAAAATGCCATTTTGTTTGTAGGAAAATTCTGCTAAAGAATGGTTGTGTTTGCCTCTATTCTCTTAACAAGCAGAAGCTTTAGAAATACATGGTCACAAGTGTGTGTGACTAAAATTAGCTATATTTTAGCTTGCAAACTTACATGCTAAGTCACATCCATATGAACATAATTCATTTTTAGACCTTGCTTCTGTAACCCAGGGATTCACAGTACATAAGACTTCAATACTACATTTTCTAATGTCTCAGATTCTCATCATTTTTCGGAAGTTCTATGTCCATTTTAGATGTATGAAGCTTTACCTTGTTCTCATCCAGTGGACAGGAGCTTCTTGTGCAGTCACTTCCAAACACTGTAGAATCAACTTCCTCATGTGTATCGAGTTGGAAGGACTGTTTAAGCTGTTTCAGTTCCTGCACTATTCGATAAAGTCTGCATTTCTCTTACTGTTCAAGGGCTCAGGCAAGCTAAAATGTTCAGCTTGTGGATGTTCTGAAAGATATTTGAACTTCATAAACTGTTTAAAGATACCTTAATATTTTTGTCTTGGTTGGATTTAAAACAAATAATTATAAAAATCACTGCCAGTTTCCACTATCATCCAGCAAATTTTAGTAAATCCTGTTCTTTCTCTGAGCAGATTGGTTGTTAAGCAAAAGATTGTGTTGCGTCTTCCAAGAGCTTCTGATTTTGAATTTAAAATAAATGGATCTATATCTGATTGGGAGGGTGGAGGGAGGGACCTATAACTTGATACATAGGAAGCTACTTGAATTAAATGCTCATTTTGACGTTTTGCCAGCGATGGGAATTTGCACGTGCTCTGGGCTGAGTCAAGATATTAAAATTACAACAGTAAAATGAAACACAAGGATAATTCAGGCTTGACTTCGTAAGTTATCAAATACATAATAGCAAACATGTGGTTTCTCTGATCTTCACATTCCTTGTGTAAGTTAATCGTGCATCTGAAAGCAGTGGAATTTTGATACAGCACTGTGTTATTTGGCATTGCAGAATTCTCCTACTTTTTCCATTAGTCTCAAATTATTCTCTCCCTTGTAATGCAGCACTTCTGGGTGATATGCATAAGGGAGAAAAATTCGTGCTGAATGAATGGATTCTATTTCATTTGTTACCAATTTCATTACAGATAATAATACCTTGTGAGAAAACTATAGGGTCACGCAGAATTACTACGTGCTCATTGCTAAGTAACTTAATTGACATCACTTTGAAGGAAAATTCTTGTTATGTTGGAGATTTTTGCATTACTGTTTTGAAGAATGTTTTGGTTTGGTGTATGCTATAGGTTTGACTGAACTGAGAAATTACCAACTTTTTAACATTATTTTCTTTTCTGGAGTTTCTCTTTACTTATTTTAGGTTTTCATAACAAAACAATCTTTTGCATTTATTTATTTTTCTATTTGGAGAAAACCTACAGTGATGTGTATGTGTGAGAAAGTTTACATGTCGCATCTAGCTTTGGAAACTTAATAGTAAAATAGTGAAATACCAACACAAATGAATTTATGTTTGGGGAAGAGAAGATGGGATTCACGTTAACTAAAACACATTTCCATTTTGTAGAAAGTAATTCAAATTAATGCTTTAGATATAGAGGATCTGTGGAAATGTTAAACATCTTTGACCTTAGAGTCAAGGTGATAAAGTTCACTAGAGTCACCACTGCAATCACTGTCGCTCCTCTGGGGAAGTTAATACCTTTTCTAAAACATGGCTTTATTTGTTTTGAAATGCTTTCAGTCTTTCCTGGGGAGGAAGAGGTATGACTCCTTCATCACTCCCCTTCATCTTTCCATTGCAGTTCTATATGCTTTTCTAATACTTTCTCCAGTATTGTGGGGTGGGGTGTTTGGTTTTTTGTTTTTTTTTCTTAACTGCAAAGAAGAAATGAGAGTGACTTCGGAGATGACATCCTGTTTGTTTGGGATTGCTGGTTCTTAGTTACTGGCGAGAGGCTGAAATACAGACGTAGTTTGCTTTCTGCTTTCTTTCTTCTCCCCTGTACCGCAGAGGGAATGTAACTGACTGTTAATGTTCAGGGTAATAATAAAGTAGTGCAGAAAAGGATCTGTGTGGAATCTGTTGACAACTCCACATATTTTGTTTGTAGTTCTTTTTGAGCAGAAGATGAAAATGTTGTTTGTTGAAGTTTCAGGCATATTTATTCTGGTATTTTTCTCTACCTATCCGTAGAAGAACTTATGTTTAGCACCTTGGCATCCAGAGTTTTGTTACTTACCACATGTTGCATTTTCCTCTGCTGCAATGCTAACTTCCATGAGCTGACACAGTTGCAGTTTTGTTGTTTTCATTTTCACCTTTCTTTCATTTGCAGAACTGTCTTACAGATGACATTGGAATATCTACGTGGAAGGAACAGGTTTTCCTGTCACATAGTGCCTTGCTGGCAAAGAGCTGCCAGGCTGCAATGGAACTAGCAAAGCATAGCTCTGAGATTCAGGACATGGCATTTCGGTATGGAAAGCACATGTCCATGAGTCATAAGGTACACCTTTTTCTTTCAGTCTGTGATTTTAAAATTGGAAAAACTTGCAAGATTTGTTGGTCTTGAGCTCTGTTCTGTACCACCACCACTATGCCACAGACCTTTGTCAGCAGGTTAACGGTACTGAGGGACTTGACTACTGCCTGGTATAACGTTTGCAGAAACTGCTGATATGAACAGTGCTTATGAGCTTGCAAAATCACGCTTTCTGGCTGTGTGGTTTATTTCATTCGACGCTCTGTTAAAAGTCCCTCTGGTTCGTCTGTCTGTAGCAGCTTAAAGCTTTACTTTCTGTGCTCTGTGTTCTTCTTGAAGCCACAGTCCCAGCAGCAGGAATTGCAGAGGGAAGCAGGTGTTGGGTGCCAAGCTGCCTCCATGCATATGTTTGTGCCAATAAGTTCAGCTTCCTGCAGCAGCACATGAGACTGAGACAGGAGCTGCAGTGGCTGAAGTACCTGCATGTGTTCTCTTCTAGCTAATCTGCTGTGGAGCTAACTTCCAAAGGGAGTAAATGATGCATAGCAAGGGAGGTAACCAGGTGAGAACAGTAGGAGCATAAACTTCTGCAGCAGTAGGATTTCCCAGAAAAAGTCTGACCCTCCCTCATGCTAGAGTGAGACAGCCACTGCAAAATGTCTGTGCAGGTTTTAGATTTCTACTTGTCCTCTATTGGAGCTCACTGGCCTTACACAGAGGCATATCTCTGGCAATTTCAGTTCAAGTCAGAAGTGCATCCACTTAGTCAACTTATGTTTGAGTTGAAGTGTTAAGCTGCATTTTCTTCACTGAAAACTGGACGGAAATATTTTCTTCAGTCTTTCAGTTCACAGCTAGAGGTAGTACAAAGCAAAGCACTCTTGTTTTGCCTCACATACCCACTCCATCTGTATTGCAGTACTTGTAAAGGAAGATATCGCTTGAGACAGGCAAACAGACCTCCCATCCGCTCCTACTCAGTTGGTTTATGTGGTTTCTAGTTCCTCCAAGAAAAGGAAGTGGTTTTCAAAAGCAGGACTTCATTGACATACAAATATTGCTAGGTACTACTCTGAGAGTAAACTACATCTAGTTCAGACTATAGCTTTAATATATTTAGTGTGTGCTTTAATGTTAATTCTTTCTCTAGTGATTAATATGGTTGTGTATAAAGGATTACATGATTTTCATAGAAGGCTATTAGCTGTGTAATATTTCCTTTGTCAGAAAACAGATCGTACTACATCAATTTCTTTGGTTACTGGAAGTAGATAGAGTGCATTGCCCTTAACAGATGAAAAACTGATCTTCCCAACAAAGACTAAATCGTTCTTTCTTTTATGGTTTTTTTTCCACTTCTTTCCATTCAACAATTCCTTACCTGACTGTCTCATCACTTGCCCAGCTCTGCAAGCTGTCCTTTACCTACTTATTTGGAGATACTCTGTGTACTTGTCTTTATCACAGCTTTCTGCCACTGCAGTGCTTCTCCTTCTTCCTTTCCCTCCTTCAGTCTTGAAGTGCAACCAGAATGCAAGTGTCAAAGCAGAAAATGGCAAGTAGCTATAGAGTTGGGATACGGGCTTTGAATTGGTAGATGTGAATGTATAGTCTGCTTCTGGAAGTTGAAAAAAACTGTTCTTTTCTTTCAGCTGCATTCAGACCTTCAGCCATTTGTTAAAGAAAGTTCTAGTGATGCCATGGCCTTCAGTTTGAATTGTGCTCCTGCAGTCCTTCATCAGGAATTCCTTGGAAGGGATGCATGGATTAAACAGATCAGAGAGGTAAATTAAAACATTGTTTAGAATTGCCAACTTCTGTCATTTGCATCTCTCTTCTGTCTGTGCTTTCAATCTACAGAGAAACTCAGAAACCGACATCAGATGAGATAATGCAAAGGTTATTACCTCTACTTTCCAATACCTAAAACCACTCTCTTTCATTATTTCAAGAGGGTGAAATCAGAGGAGCTGACAAATGAGCTCTTTACGACTTCTGTGTGTCAGTGTAACGAGCAGATTCACTTCCATGGAGCATCTGTCCCTTACTATTTGTGCAAAGTCCTATATCTTAGCTTAAACCTACTTTCAGTGGCTGTGTAATGCCACCAGAGTGGTCAAAAGGTAAGTACACGTTTTCTTGGGCTAACTTTTCTCTGGGATCTGTGATTTTCAACAGAGGGAAAAGACCTGGGAGACATGGCTTCCTGACCACTACAAAGTATTTGAGAGGTCTAGCTGGTTGATGTCCTCATGCTCAGTTCTCTTCATTCAGTTATTTTTCCTCTAACACATAAGGAAGGACATAAAAGTAAGATGGCTGTGTAGCATATATCTGTTCTACATTACCACATAGAACTGTGGCATTCCAGCCTATGAATATTTCCTGTGTGCTGAAATACAAATAGATAATGATACAGGAGAGCAGGGAGGAGAAAGTGGGGAAGAAACAAAGAAAGATGACCAGTAATAAGCATTCTGTTGTGTTCCTGTATCAGACAGACATGTTTTGCTTTTCTAAACAGCTGTGATGTGTACTGTTTGGAAATTCCTGATGTTGTTACACTGATTCTTCAGGAGAAAGTCTGCTGCCTTTGGTAATAAGCTAGCTCCCTGCAAACACGTTCTTTTAAGATGCTTGTTGATGGCTTCTTTCCTTCTTGGTTTGAAAGCAGAACTGAGCATCGCAGGATGTAAGGTTTGAGCTTCTGCCTAATTCTCCATTTATGGTGGCCAGGTTGCAGTAGTACTGTGTGTGAATCTTGAACCAAAACAAGCTTTGTGTCAATTTGAAATTAGACGACGATGTTTCATAATGTATGATGAGAAATTTTCAAATTCTGCAGTCTCAACACAAGGCTCAGATGTGAGTTGAATGTAAATGGATTTAGATGATTGCAGTTGGAGAATAATGGTATTACCACAGCGCACTTTATAAAGGCTTTGAAACCATTTCCCATCTGCAGAATCTAGAGGAGGTTGCAGGATTCCAGGAGTGCCGTCTGTCTCCTTGCTAATTCTTATACCAAAAATGGGCATGATAGAAACAATGAAGCGGTTTTTGCTGAAGGGGAAAAAAGTGACATGCTCTACATAGAAGTATTGTACTTACTATTATTTTAGCTAAATACAAAGTATGTGGCCAGGACTTACTGCCTGTCATTCGTGTCTTAATCAAGGATGCCTGAAATGCTGTGGAGCCCAGGACTTTTTGTCATTGTTTCCCCAGAGTTCTCTTGTCACAAGTCCAGAAACAGGCGCTGTTCCTACGGTAGCTTTAGAATAGAGACAGGCATATGCACCTTCTTGCTGCTGAGCTGGAGACCGTTTAAAAACCCTCTTGTTTCTTTATTTGAAAAGAACAAAACACACCAGATCACCACATGTGGATGTGTGTATTTTGAGAAGATTACCTTCAAATTTGGATGTTCAGAAACTGCCTTAAAAGAAAATTGGGATGCGTACAAAGGGAAGCTGTGTCATAAAAGAGAAAAAAAGTTGTAGATGTATGTATATATGTGTGTGTGTATGCATGCATATACAGATACGTACATGAATGATCATACACAAAGGCCAGAGAATCTATTCTCACTGATTTTACCACCAAACCCCTCCAACCTTTTGTATTTAAAAGTAAAGTAGCCAATGAATGGTCAGCTGTCTTATTTGAAAAGCAATATGGGCTGGGGAGTAGAGTCCTGAAATGTCTTTATTTTTGGGGTGTTTTTTTTTCTTTTTTTCAATAAACTTAAATCCAGCCCTGAATAGTTTCCAGAAAACACCACTGTAGACAAATGCTTGAATGCTGACCTCTAGACAAAAGTGTTAAAATAGCTGCTAAATGCAGTCCTGCTGAGATTTTGGAAAGCCTTGTATTCTTAAAATTAAAAAAATAGGTCTAGAACTCATCTTAGCCCACAACATTTTTAATTCAATAGGAGAATAAATTAGAAACAATCTCACTTAGGCCAAAGTAATCCCTGTACCTTTTACCAGGTCTTTCTGAGCCTTCTCTAAAGAATCACAACTAGAAGAAAAGCATTTCCGAAATGCTTTGTAGATGATTTATCAGATGCTTTGTTAAGTATTGTGAAGCGTAGGTTTTAAGAACATACATAAGAGGGTCACCTCATCTGAGAAAGAAAAGTCAATCTTCAAAACCACTAGTCCTGAAAATCTACTTCAAAAGCATTGTCATAAACTGTCTGCTTGTGATCTGTTTATCTGATGCATTTTGAGCCGTTCCATGGGGGATTCAGGGATCTTTCTTCCTGGCAAGATGAGCTGATTTTACACCACCTGATTATCGATGAAGAATGTCCTAATATTATTGTCCCTCACAACTGGCATGTGGTATTCAGAAGAAAGGCTGAGCTGAGTTGCTTGTTCATATCTTGAGCATGCTGGTACACAGATCCTTTTATTTGAGGCCCAGAACCTTAGCACATCCAAGAGCCTTGGCACAGCCAAGCAGTGAGACCTGGAAAGTTACCCCAATTTGGCAAGAAGGCATACCTTTTGTAAGTCAGTGAGGAAGCTAAACCAGATGCAGAAATCTTATGTAATAGAAGAAAATCTCTGTGCCTGAAATCAGGGTCAGTAAAAGTCAAAGAGCAAACTACTGTGAGGATAAAAGGAAGAAAAGGGCAAATGTGCTATTGTAAAAAGAAAGCTTAGGAAACATTAGCTAAGGCTGCTGCTTGGAGAAGTGTAAGTGCTGTTGGCTTGAGTGTTTGAGAGGAGCAGAGAATGAGAAAATACTCCTGCTGCTTGTAACGTCTTACGTTTAGGAGAGGGCATGCTGAACACACCTCTTCTGGTATTACTAAGACTAAAAAGCCTGATTCTGTGAAACAGAACTATGTTGGATAAGCTGGTAATAACTTCAGTTGTATTTTTTCTGCATCTGATTCCTAAAGAAAGTCAATTCTGTGTAAAGCAGTAGGTCTTCTAATTGCATCTTATACTCTTGCTACTGTAGTCTATATAGGTAATGTCTTATATAAAATCTCTCTTTCTCTTTAAGGCACAAGGAAAAGGAAATTTGATGGACTACAAGAAGGTCAGTAAATTACATTTAAACCTGCTTTTTATTTTTAATATTATGTGTGACATTTTCAAGGTTATTCTTGACAGTTGAAACTTCCTTATTTAAGCCACTTTATGCATGTATGCATGCAGAGAGGAAGAGAGAGAGAATGGCTTGTACTATTACTTGATTTGAAAAGTCACTAACAGTTATCTATCCTGTATCAAACACAGCCATTTAATGATCATTTTTGCCATTATTTATTCCATTTAATTCTCCAAACTTAGTTCTGAAGTCAGCTTTTTGTCAGCTTTTGCTGTCTCCTTTTCTGCAGTTGTTTGCAGGTTAGCTGCCAGCAGTGATCTCTACTTATTGATAGAATATGCTGTTATTCTTTTCTTAATCTCACCTTAATACTCTGCTTCCTTTAGAAAAATACACACATCTACACACAGGTGTTTTATAGCAATTTGTCTTTCCTGTTACAGCTTTGAGCTAAGTCACCACAGCATTTGCTATGCAACTGCTCTGTAGTAAAAGCAGATGTGAATTAATTAGCTTATCAGCTGAAAGTAGCTGGAGCATTGTGGTGCTCTTAGAGAAGTGCAGGAGATGACATAGAAGGCTCCCTCCTTCAGTACTGGAGAACAGCTTAACTGTGGTGGAGGTAGAAGATGGGATTTGTCCCCAAGTTACTCAGTGAGCACAAAGCTGAGTTGTTCCGAGTCTTAAGTACATCGTGAGGGTCCAGTTAGCTTCCTCCAGCATCACTGGGAAATAATTGTTAAGTTACTGCTCTCACACAATTGAGAATCACCCTCTTGGAGTAGACTTTAAAGAACATTACAGCTGTGAATGTTTGCTGTTAATGTGGTAAGTTAACATGTATACATGTTACAGGTCAGACTTCTAATGTAGTTATACCATATTAAGAAAGTTTGAATTGCTATTTTTTCTTCTTGTTCAAGCATGAAAAGGATCTCAGCTTTAACTATTTAAAATCATCTTCATTTTGATTTGGTGTTTTGATTTGTTTTGTTTTTAATAATAGAAAAAGACTGATACAACTGCCACTTTCTAAATCATTGCTGAGAGTACTGAATTCTTTTCCTCAAATATGTGAAACACTCCTTTGAATGTTCAGACGACGCTACTTGCTTTTCTAACTATAGAATGGATTTCCTTCTTATAAGAGTTACAGTTGTGACATGCCCAGTGTCATTTCCATAGTTTAAAACAAAAAAAAAAGTGGGAGGTGGGAGAAAGGCTTCTAAAGGCTTCTAAAATTGCTTTACTGAATTATGTATTTGTTGTTATATTCTACATTTTTACTTGCATGATTTCATATTTTGAATCCTTCATATGAAGTTGGAAAACTTAGTGTGACTGTGCAACTTGGACACTTGGATGGAAGGGAAGGAAAGGGGAAAGGAAAGGAAAGGGAAAAGGAAAGGAAAAAGCCCTCTTGAGGTTTTTATTTCATGCAGTCGACTTCAGCTGGGAGACATGATTTCAGTGCTCTGGCTGATCGTCTCTTACACACTCATGAATATTATGAGTTCAGTAATGAAGAACTAGTAGTAGTTTATTAGTGAAAAATTCTCCATTGCTTTTGCACACTCAAACAATAATCAACTTTGTTTTTCGAGAACATCAGTTTCAAAATCGGTGTCACATCCTTCTCTTCTGTGTTTCTTCATTTAAAATAAAAGTGGCCATTAGTTACATCCATGCTCAGTAACCTGTAGCTCATCTCAGTGTATTAGTTTGACCGGTACATGCACACAGCCAATTAGAGTACATATTGTGCCACACAAATTTGTGTTTCTTTTTTGTTCTTTGCTGTGATGTCTTTACTCCTGTACCACCAGAGTCAGTATTTTGCACATTTGCTGTTTTTTGTGGGTTTTTTTTCCACAGCATCAGTGTCTCCTCTCATCTCTATTCAGTTGCTAGATTTACTTTAACATTTCTAATCAAATCCAGAGCCTTGCTTCTCTTTGAGTCTCAGAAACACCTCTTTCATTTTGAAAAAGCTATGGTCACCAAAACTAGATGCGAAACTTCATTTTTACTATGAACTTCAGCATGCCATTTGCACAAAATAAAAATGCTGTTTGTTTATTTAAATACATAACAATATTTACATAAAGACCTTTTGCTGTTTTGTCTGCTTAAGAATATTTCACCTTATTCACTGCAGATTTCAATTAAAATAATGAATTAAGGAAAAGATGAGAAATTGAGATCTGTCCATTCAACGTGACTCTACTAAAAGGCTGCTCAAGAACTTTTTAACTGTTCATATGATGCATGTTATATGAAAATGATCTTTCTGAGCTTTTCCACTGACAAAAAAAAAGTCTTGGTGGTGCTAGTAAATTTTGTTAGGGCTCTGAGATAAAAACAGAAGTGAAATACTTTTCATTAATTTAATTAGCCCTAAGACTATCATGTCAATAAGGTCACTGTTCTGCAAAATTATCAGTACTTTCTTTCTCCCAGCATATCAATCTTCTTATTAGAAGGACTTTGATATCAGAAAGAGTCTTATTTTCTTGCATTATTATCTGAATGTTTCACTCTGAATTTTGCTGTACCATCACACCACATCCAGACAAATTATTGATCCAATCATTATGTTGTTTGAAAGTCTCTTACAGAGATGAAAAAGTAGTTGAAGCTCTATTTCAGTGGTGTTTCTCAGATAACAACAGTAAAAGTACCAATATATGGCAGAAACAAAGCTTGTGTGTCATTGAAATGTGATTTCCTGTCATCCTCATTAGTACGCTGAATTTCAACAAAAATCTCAGGCTTCTTTGTCCATTTTACCAGTTATTTGCCACAGATAAGCTGTAATTCTACAAAAACAAATTGAGATCCTCAGTGAATCACTTATTTATAATTTTGGTTCCACTGAAATCAAGACTTAATGGTGCGAGGCATTATGCAGTCTTGTTAAGTGAGAGTAACAAAAGTACAAAAAGTAGCAGGAGTGAATAATTCTTGTTCACTGGCCAAGGCTCTAGAAGAATTACGAGACTAAAGTGACATCCTATATTTTGCATCCAGATAGCATACCATGGAAAGGACTTGTTTTTCTTAATATAGCATTCGTAAAAGATAAATTAGGTCAAGTGAAAGAAGATATGGCAAAACAATTTTTTTTTAATGTAGGCCTACTCACTTGCTTTCTTGTGGAGTCCTTTCATCCAAACTGGCACAGGAAATATGGCACGTCAGCAGTGCTGTGATATACTTTGATAGTTTGTGTATAGAACCACCACAAGACTTTAACAGAGCGGATTTTATACTGGATTGGCAGTAATGAGTCAGGAAGTGGTAGATCCATTCATACAGTGCATGGTGCTAATGTCTTGGCTTCACGTACGGAAGGAAAGAACTAAAGAAGAAAAATGGGTAAGGTCAGATCTGGAAACAGTGAGGTTTCTTGGTGGCAGTAACAATAACACAGTGCCATCCAGCTGCACCAGCAAGGGCGTATAACTCTGCTTGACCAGCTCACTCCTGACTGCCTTACTCAGCGCGCTTGTCCTACTGTGGTGCTGTCTTTGGAGCAGTTTTACCATCTCACACCATAAATGACAGTGCTCCCTCAGCTCTGATTAATTAAATGGCAGAGTATCACCGTGAGAGGTGTCATGGGACTACAGGCAGTAGACTAGCTGCTGTCCTGCTCCTGAATTGCAGCAGAGAGCTAAAAACAGAATTGGTATTTGTAGATGGTAGTGACCTCTGCGAGTTTTCTGTTAAAATCTCTTGTTTGCAGCAATTGCCATTAGTTTCTTTTGTTCTGTATATTAAAACAACAGTTGTTAGTGAGTATACTTATTCTTGATATGTTAGCAATATTACATAAGCAGACAAAGCCTCTCAGGAGAAGCAGCTTACTGCACGTTGGGAATTACCAGATCTCAAAATGGATGATGCTCACCTCATGGGACCCTGTAGGACTGGTCCCATGCCCTGCTGGGAGGTCATCTCCCATGGCTCCCTGTCCCTTATGGAGAAGTTGGCCCTTATTGCTCGTTGGCATTCACTTTTGTTCCCTGAAATCTTTTGTTAACATCCAAATTATTTGATATGATGAGTGGGAATGGCTTCGAGTTGCACCAGGAGAGGTTCAGGTTGGATATTAGAAGCAACTTATTCTCAAAAGGAGTGATGAGACACTGGAACAGGCTGCCCAGGGAGGTAGTGGAGCCACCATCCCTGGAACTGTTCAGTGAATGTGTAGATGTGGTACACAGGGACATGGTTTAGTGGGCAGCATTGGTGGTAGGTGGACGGTTGGACTAGATGATCTTGCAGGTCTTTTCTAACTCTTGACAATTCTATGATTCTGTGATTCTATGATCACTTGTTAAATGGGGGATGCTGTTATGTTGTTATTTGGGGTAAATTTAGGAGGTTTTGTTTTCTGAGTCTGTGTGTTTGTTTCTTTCTTTTGAATTTAGATTTTGGCTAAACTAAAGAAAGGTAACAGTTATCTGAAGTACTCAAGCGTATATGCAATACCAAAAATCAGCTGTATCATTGTTTTTAATTGGTGGATGTCTTCCATGGCCTTTTTAGGATGAGAATCCAACATGGCTTTTGTTTCATTAAACGAACCAATATCACTTTTTTTTTTTTTTTTTTTAGCATAAATATCATATTAATTACTTGTGTGCGCTAAGATGAGCCCAGAACAGTTGCTCTGGAAGGCAAATATGTAATTTCTGTGTTAAATTTTCTTTTTATCTTCTAAGGCAAGGAGACTAGAAAACAGTGCTCAGAACTCGGCTTTAGTCACAAAATGATATGGTAATTGAAGTTGGAAGGGAACTCTGGGGAACATCTGGTCCCTCATTTTGCTCAGAGCAGAGCTAGTGTGAATTGATCAGCTCAGAGCCTTGTCTGAGTTCTGGATACCTGCAAGAACTTGAGTTCTTATAACCTGCCTGAGAAGCCTGTTGGATTGACTATCCTCCCAGTGGAAAAGAATTTCCTTGAGTCTCATCAGCATT